TCTATCGAAAAGTCTAGTAACTTTTTTCTGTAAAATAATTATTTTCCAAATTATCGCCATTTTTTACTTTTCAAGACTGACTTGTAGGAGAATTTTTCTTTTGACGAGTTCTAGCCGATCTGATCGGAGTTCTGGGTAGCGCTACCTGAGTTCTATCGAAAAGTCTAGTAACTTTTTTCTGTAAAATAATTATTTTCCAAATTATCGCCATTTTTTACTTTTCAAGACTGACTTGTAGAATTTTTCTTTTGTCGAGTTCCAGCTGATCTGATCGGAGTTCTGGGTAGCGCTACCTGAGTTCTATCGAAAAGTCTAGTAACTTTTTCCTGTGAAATAATTATTTTCCAAATTATCGTCATTTTTAACTTTTCAAGGCTGACTTACAGGAGATTTTTTTTACGAGTTCTAGCCGATCTGATCGGAGTTCTGGGTAGCGCTACTTGAGTTCTATCGAAAAGTCTAGTAACTTTTTTCTGTAAAATAATTATTTTCCAAATTATCGCAATATTCCAAATATCTTGAAAAGTTAAAAATGGCGATAATTTAGAAAATAATTATTTTACAGGAAAAAGTTACTAGACTTTTCGATAGAACTCAGGTAGCGCTACCCAGAACTCCGATCAGATCGGCTAGAACTCGTAAAAAAAATCTCCTGTAAGTCAGCCTTGAAAAGTTAAAAATGACGATAATTTGGAAAATAATTATTTCACAGGAAAAAGTTACTAGACTTTTCGATAGACCTCAGGTAGCGCTACCCAGAACTCCGATCAGATCGGCTAGAACTCGTCAAAAGAAAAATTCTCCTACAAGTCAGTCATGAAAAGTTAAAAATGGCGATAATTTGGAAAATAATTATTTCACAGGAAAATGTCAGTAGACATTTCGATAGAACTCAGGTAGCGCTACCCAGAACTCCGATCAGATCGGCTAGAACTCGTAAAAAAAAATCTCCTATAAGTCAGCCTTAAAAAGTTAAAAATGGCGATAATTTGGAAAATAATGATTTTACAGGAAAAAGTTACTAGACTTTTCGATAGAACTCAGGTAGCGCTACCCAGAACTCCGATCAGATCGACTAGAACTCGTAAAAAAATTCTCCTATAAGTCAGTCATGAAAAGTTAAAAATGGCGATAATTTGGAAAATAATTATTTCACAGGAAAAAGTTACTAGACTTTTCGATAGAACTCAGGTAGCGCTACCCAGAACTCCGATCAGATCAGCTGGAACTCGTAATTTTTTTTTTGTAGATTTATATTTTTTGCAATAACTTGCAAAATAATTATTTTCCAGGAAAAAGTTATGAAGCTCTTCTGTAGAACTCGGAGAATGCTGCCCAGAACTATTATCAGATCGGCTAGAACTCGCGTCGGAAATTGATCTTTTCTTATATGAATTATAATTTGGACGCGGCGAAACTTCAAAAATCGATTTTTTCGTTTTAATCGCTAGAACTATTGATATAACTGATAGAGAACTGTAGAAATATTGTAAAGCAAGCTAGAACTCCGAAGAAATTTGTGATTTTCGTGATTTCGTGCGCTGCGTGAACTTAGCGCACGATTTTTTAAAATTTGTTTTTTTTTAATTTAAACATCGGAACTAATTAAAATGATTATAAAGAACTCTAGAACTATTCAAAAGGATGTCAGAACTCTAAAAAGAAAAGTCGATTTTTGAATATCGTGTGCCAAGTTCACAGGAGTAAAGATCAGATCTAAACGTTGGAAAATTTCGGAGGTACAATGAAAAATGCAAATTTTGTTAATTGTGGCCCCGGTCTCCCCTACACTGAGCAACATATGGTATGCGAAACATGAACAGATATAGTGAAACAATAATGGCGCCACACACTAGTGTTTGTGACTAGACTCATAATATATAATAATTATTTTGGCTACAACTTGTAGTTTTCATTTTTTTTTAATTGATGATAATGGGCTTGGCCTTCGCTAACGGTGCACCAGTGGAGGATGACAAGATGAGCATGAAGTCAGGTCCAGAAATAGAAATAGAAATAATCTTTATTCAAATAAACTCATTACAAGCACTTTTGAATAGTCATATTTTGATTCTACCACTCATTCGGAATGCAGATTCATCACAAGAAGAATGAGCAAGAAACTTGTGTGTTGCTCTTTTTAATAGATGTTTTTTTTATAAAAATAATTACAGTGTAACAAGTAAGAGGCATGCGACAATCAACATAGAAATCGCTACGCACTCATTATTAGTGTAATCAGATAATATTGTCAGTGCTATGTATTTAAAATTTTTCTACAAAAACATTATTATCGTTAACGAATTCTTCAATTTTATAGTAAGCTTTTTTGCAAAGGAAGTGTTTTATTTGACATTTAAATCTTTTTTCTGGCAGATTTATAACAGACTCTGGTATTTTATTGTAAAACCTTACGCAATTGCCATAAAACGAATTACTAACTTTAGCCAAACGACATTTAGGTAAAATCAGTTTGTTATTGTTACGTAAGCTTTTATTAGTGCAATCACTAACTCTTTTGAAACTGTCTATATTCTTTCTTCTATATTATGGCATACATGATATTTTCATAAATATATTGAGAAGCAACGGTGAGGATATTTGATTCCTTAAAGCACTCTCGCAAAGACTCCCTGGAACCCATGCTATAAATGGAGCGAATGGCCCTCTTTTGTAAAATAAATATTGTATTTATATCAGCTGCTTGGCCCCATAACAAAATACCATACGACATAATGCTATGGAAATAGCTAAAGTATACAAGTTTAGCCGTTGCCACGTCTGTTAATTGTCTAATTCTTCTTACCGCATAAGCGGCAGAACTAAGTCGACTCGCTAATTTAGTAATATGGGCACCCCATTGCAACTTGGAATCTAATGTGATACCTAGAAATACAGTATCATCCACAAAATTAATAGGTTTATTGTCCAACATGATTTTTGAATCTACTGGCCTTACATTGGGGAGAGTAAATTTGATACATTTAGTTTTATTTGCATTTAGTAACATATTATTAGCCGTAAACCATTTTAGAACATAAGAAAGAGCACCGTTTACTTCGTCCAAATCATCAATATGTCGATTGACTTTGAATACTAATGAAGTATCATCAGCAAACAGAACTATGTCAGCTATCTTTTCTGACTCCTGATACCAGACTCACATGCTAAGAAAATTCCCTGCTTCCATACTGCCACTGTTTAAAAGATACTATATTATAGATTATTACTTAAGTATATTCTATATCTATACTAAATTATCTTGGGGAATGGTCAAGGTGAGTCACAAGTATTTAATATATAGAATGTGAAAGTATATTTTAAATAAAGGAGTTGTAATATGAATTAAGTAAGTGTTTCTATAAAAAAATATTTCTATTTAATTGATAAATTACAATAATAGACTAGTGATATTGAAAAGTTAATTTAATAATAATTTATATATTTTATGAACTTTGCTTGTTTTAAGTACTTAATCATTTAATTAATTACTATTTATTAATCTTGGCATAGTGGATATCTTATACCTTTACAACAAAACAAAATTAAGTCGCTTCTGCTGTCTGTTCGCTCAGATCTTTTAAACTACTCAATGCAGTTTAATGCAGTTTTTATAAAAGAGTTATTCAAGAGGAAGGTTTATGTGTATAATACATGTACAAATGTGTGAAACCAAGACAGGTCGCTAATTGTTAATAAAGCAAATAAATTTAATTAGAATTAACAATATTCACATTAAAAGCCAGCCTCCAAAGTAGGTAATCATTATTAGGTAGACTGTAGGTAAATAAAAAAAAAACTTGAATTGCGTAAGTGTCTAAAATAACCTTTGGAGAAATTAATTTTGAATTAAGTATTGTGCACATACTGACCCTGATATTTATAAAAATGTCATACATTTCATAACCATATCTTAGTTATGAAATTATGACTAAATATTTGCTTTTGAACTATTTGGGTAATTTAAAGCAAGAATAAACAAAGAAGTGGGTTTGTCGGTTTTAGCATTTATGAATATTGGTGTCAATTATTTATACAGTACATTTTCTATTGCTAAGTGCCAGTAAGTAATAAAAAATAACTATATTTGTGTATGATGAAATAAAGCTAAGAGCCGCCCTCTACTGCAGAAGTGCAGCTTAAAATAGAGTACACGGGAAGGAATTAGAAGAGGCATTTGCCACAAGGCACTCTGTACTGCAGGATATAATCCAATTAATAATTAATAAAAAGTAAAAAAACATAAGAAAGTAAAAATACTGAACAATTGCACAACTGTTAATAATAATCTTAAAAATTAATATACTGTATAGCATAATAATTGGACCAGTAATTACCATGTCTAATAAAAATGTATAGAAAAGTGCAGAATAAAGGCTTCTGTTTTTTTATCTTTATCTTATATATTTGTGAATGTAGCTAAGTTTTTTTTTATACAATGATGATGGTGGATTAATAATTTAGATTACATATTATAAAATGCAATTGTAATGTTTTTGTTAAGAATTATACTTTGAATAATAATTACAATCTGTAATTTTCTTCTCCTAATAGAAATAGGCGCAATTTTTACACAAATGTAGTGACTTGTGATAGGTACCTCATTTCAGTATACATGCAACCTTCTTTCGTGTATGTATGTCAAACAACAATAGGTACTGAGAGATTTTTAACGCCGATAAAAAAAATTGATTCACGAGAGCCAATACCGTTGTCTGTTTTAATATTTATCGTGTTTTGAATGCGAACCGTGTTTTATTATTCATCTCTCACGACAATTTACATGCACGATATTCCGAATTAATTGACTTCGTATAATGCCCATTATGCTGTCTATAAAATTTTATTAAATAACCAGTTACCTCGGACCTAAAAAGTTATTGTTTGATTCGTTTTTAAATTGACATCATCAGTCGTCTGAGATATTTATTATTAGGTGTATCAAATTAGGTACACGTAAGACAGGAAGTAAAAAGAAATTAAACGTATTGTTTACTAACCTCTTTGGACTGCAGGCTATGTTGCACTAGTAATCAAGTAAGCGATAGTGACCATCACCATTTCATACATAATTGATATAACTGTGTTCACCAATAGAATATTATGATCGGCAAATAACGGAGGATACAAAAAGTAAGCCTTTTGAAAGCCGGCAGCACTTTATTGACCCATACCTCTATGAAACCATGGGGAAAATATGCATTTTTTATCAAGTTATATCGATTGTCAGTTTTGGTGTGCACATAGAGCGGCCTGCGTAATGTAAGTACACTCTATGACCAATTCCATTTATATAACAATATCACTCACAAGCACCTTTGTAATTTCATTAATAACACCTAAAAATCGATCCCACAACAAGGTTCACGAGAATTCAAACACAAGTCTGCGGCGGTGTGATAAAATACATTATTTTCCTAACTAAAGCTGCGATGTAATACTGCACGATGTTATTTATTTATAATACATTTTCGTGGTAGATACTTGTAAATTATGATAATGCTAACCAATTTTTCGTGTCATATTTCTTTACAATAGTACAAACAATAAGCGATCACAAAACACGCACGACTCAAGTTAAGCGCGTTCGCTTTGACACTAAACTCTACATAGATGTCGCCGTGCTCGCAGTGCTTCGCAGCCATAAAGGAAAATGGCCGCCGATATAACCCGTCAAACTAAAGCATTATAATTTCAACTTTATGCTGAAAGATTTAAGATGGAATCTTAACTAATTGTATATGACCAAAACAATGATTCGATCGTATAAAACGACCGATTGAAAAACACTCAAGTGTCTGACACTTTGATACGATGGAACGTGCACTTTGTGTGTCCGTATTATATAGAAGATCTTTTTGTCTCTTTTTCTTGAACACGATTTGAAACAAATAATAATTTTATTCTACGCTTGCGCAAAGTTTAGAATATAGTTGTATTACACGTTTATTTTATAAATATTATGAGCTTTATTCCATCTCATAAGGCCTTTTAATAATTTCGGTAAAAGTAAAATATATAAAAAAAATGTTGTTCAGTGGCCAGTAATCCAGTAAATTATAATTATCACATTATGTAGATAATGAATTACAAACTTAATATCAATTTGTAACTAATTACCTAACCTACCGAAGTTGAGACTTAGAAAGGGAAGAGGATTGAATGAAATAAATATTAATGGGGAATAGTGGCCTCTTTGCTAGGAATTGTACCATACATAGGGTTAGCCTCTACGTCGCCTGCGTCCCCCGGGATAATCGTCTGACTTCATCCTCATCCTATCATCCTCCATTGATGCCCTGTTAGCGTATACTGTTGGTTTCAGGCATGTGTCTGCGCTAATACAATTTTCATACATTAAAAAATGTACCTACCTACCTAACTGTAAGCCAGTTTAAGCATCTTGATGCGTTCTTGTACCATAGGTGGAATTTTTATATACCTACTCTAACATTTTTTTAAAGCTACATGCATGAATTTGCATGAATAGATTATAATCACAGTCAGATATGAAGCTAAATATGTAGGAACTACGGAGGTTAGTAGGTGCTTACCTCAATAATTACACATGGCTTAGGATCATATAATTTCTAGAATTAAACGTGTATTCTATGCTGCGTTTTAAACTTGGAAAAAATCTGTTCACAACATTTGAGTAATTGTCCGACTAAGTGGAATAAAACGCTTAAAATTTCTGTAATCAAGGGAATGGAAAACTCAACAAAGAGCTGCCCGAGGCGTCAAGTGCAATTAAAAAATATTGAACTAGCCCTCGTCCCAGGATTTGACTGGCAGGTATGTACAAATCACATTTACTTGAAACGATATGGCGTGATATTCTGGGGCAATGCGACCAATAAAGAGTTAGTGTTAAAAGCTCAAAAGAGATGTATCAGAGCAATTTCTAATTTCAAAGTAACTGACAGTTGCATACCTTCTTTTATAAAACTTATGATATTGACTTTTCCCTCTCATTATATATACGAAGTATGCTTATATGTAAAAATAAATAGCAATTTATTTACCCCTGCCTTTAAAAACAAATACAGACAAAAACGTGATAAAAACACAATTCAAATTCAGACATCGAGAGCCAACACTCATGTCAAAATGTTTTATACATATTTCTAAAAATATATATAATAAATTACCTGACGAATTAAAAAGAATGATAATAACGAAATTTAAAAGCAAATTAAAATCAATTTTAATAAAAAAATGTTATTACTCTATTACAGAGTTCTTAACAGATGATCATTTCATGAATGTATAATAAGATAATTTTATTTGACTTAATTATATGTGACTTTGTATGATTTGATTGTTCGATTTATTATATTGTTTGACATATTATTTAATTTATTCATAAATTTATTGACATTGTATAAATTAATGACATCTATTTATGAACTTAACTAATTACTCTAATGTACCTAACTGTATATAGTTATAATGTAATTACGGGGTATCCCATATACATGTCTTATGTACTTTTTATTAATAATAGCTGTAATGTACCGTGTGAGAAGCAATAAATAAATAAATAAAAAAAATAAAAATAAAACTAAACATTTTCTTTGCTGATATGTAGTACTCATTTTATTAACAAATAAATAGAGCTCCGGAAGCTAGTGCAATTATTGTAGCCACCCTGTATTGATTTTTTAAATTTATTTCTTGCAGTTTATCTATTAAAAAATCTTTCCTCTTTAGAATATGTAGGTACCTCGTCACGACTTGTTATTTATTGCTTGGTAGGTAATTATTTTGAATATGTAGATCCGATTATACCTTAATATAATTTCAATGAATAGTAGTCAGTAGTAGGTAATTACCTAACCTTCGGGGTAGGAGTTCCGGAGTTCGAATCTAGCCATAATGTAGCTACATAAATCCATAAAAAATTAAACATGTTAAATTAAATTAAACATTATGTAATTTATATATTCACCTATTTTTTAATAGATAATACGGGAATAGTACATCCTTCTTCGCTTATAACATGAACCTGAAGTCAGGTCAGTTCGCCCATCGTGGCATATTCACAGGGAATTTACCACAATAGTTTCCAGGGGAAATCGCATGAATGTCAACCTTACATGGGGTCATTAAACTACATTAGTAACAAACTCTACCCCCTCCCCCCTATATATCTATTAGACATTAACAAACAACCTAGGAACATACTTTTTACAATATTTCGGTTGTAGGATGCAGTTTAGCCAATGAAATTACAGGATAACATCTAACTCCTCCGAAAAGGCAACGCATGAGTGGTATCTTTTTTAGTGGATGATAATGGAATGATGCACCCGTCTGTGCTAATGGTATACGCTGGTGGGGCACCCGTGGAGGATGAACAGTGGAAGAACAATGAACAGAACATGAAGTCAGGTTAGCTAGCCCATCGTGATAAATTCACCGGGAATTTGTCACGATGGTTCTCAGGGGGAACCGCGTGGAGGTCAACCTGACAAGGTACATTGTTAGCAATGGGATGAACAATCCACACTACTAACAATCCCCTTCCCCCCACATGAGTGTGAATCAGGAGTGTAACATGATAACGTGATGTCCATAGCGATCTTCATGTGCCTATATAGTCGATGGTTACCACCAGAGGGACAGTCACTGGCCGTCTGCTTGTTTGACATTCGAATTAAAAAAACATATATTATCTTTTAATATGTTATCTCTGATTTGCTGTGAGCTTAGCGACTAATGGCGACATCTATATTTTGCTATCCGCAACGAATTTGAGACGAATAAGCATGGAACCAGGATAGAAGTTAGGCATGTAGTGAAATAGTAGTTTTGTATATAACCACTAGATGGCGCTGAGTTTTTTTTACTTAATCGTCTATTTCATAGGTGTATTGCGAACAATTAAAATCTTAAAATCTTTAAAGATCAAAATAATATAAACTGTATATGTTTTGACGAAAAAAAGGTAGGTATATCTAATTTGAATTGTTTGTAAAAATTTTGGAAAAAGTGACAGATAATAATGATAAATAAATATTTCTTTTAATTTTATGCAATTTTTATTTCTTTTGTGGAAAATCTTTACCCTTCGTAAGGGCCTAAACAAATTTTTATATGGTGCCCCGCCAAGGCACGCTACGCTTCTGATGTTACTTAATTATTTTTGCAATCCATGTGGTCACACTCAGTTTTTATTTATACTGGATATCATCACGACTGATATCTCAACTGGGGCAGTCAGATGCGTTGTCAACTGTTGATATTATCACTGATTATTTTTTGCTTTGATATCGGCTTTTCCTTCCCCAGAGAGATGGTCAGATATACATATAAATTGGCACTCTTAAGTATTTTTTGTGTCGGCTAGATTTGGACACATGAACTCTTGGGTGCCATTCAGAAGGTACGTAATTAGGTTTATTATTATTTCATTAACTTATAAATCAACCTAGACTTGTTTATGTTTTATGAGAATACAACCTAGTGCTGATGCATGTTTTGATAACTCATCTGATCTGATATTTTTTTTTTATAAATCACATTCTAGTCTCATCTTAAGAATTTTATGAACCTTGAAGCCGTTCATCCAAACGACAACAGATAATAATGCAACAAACAAACAACAACAAACTATTATAGTTTTATTATGTTGGATATAAGTTACATTGTTCTTAAATACTAGTATAGGTACAACAATACGATACTAATACTAAAACTAACAACAATATAATACTAATACTATTATAATATATAACTAATATAATAAAACTCTAAACTAATTAAATCTAAAAATATAAGCTAAGTAAGAGTATACAGGTGTTACAATTAATTACAATAAAAAATAGTTTATATCTTAAACAAAGAAGGTACAACAGAAAAATGGTATTCTCAAGTGTGTCACAATTGCCCTTACACTCGGTCTAGTCGGTCAGTTGTCAGTCTCACCCTCTTTTAAGATAAACCAGTCGAGGTCTGTCCAACTTTGTTGCATGGCAACCTGACAGTTGACCGACTGTATTGATATACAATCGCGTCGGCTGTCAGGTTGCCCAAATTATTGCCTTGAATTGCCTGAATAGTGTCACTCTAAGGTTAATACCTTAGCGCCTTCAGGGCCGTCTTTCACCTATTAGAGGACCTGAGCACATTAGGATAATGTGGTCGACCCCCTATGACCATATTAAAGCACTATTTTGTTAGAATAGACAAAGTCATTTTTGAACATGACTCTTTAGAGAGGTATATGGGGATGCCCTACCTTCAAAACAAACCAGTGAAAATAATTTTAAAAAGTCGTTGTGTGATGAGGGGTTTAAGTTCTTGCTCGTTTTTTTATTTTTTTTATAAATAGACATTTAAAAATGTTCAAAAATGATTTCTTTTATAAATGTCTATTTATAAAAAAAAGAACAAAAACGAACAAATTGACCATAGTCGGTAAGCATTTGTTAAGATTGATTTTCAGGGAGAGTAGAGTAGCTATCGGTTATCGATTGGTAATGGAGTAGGGACTGGACTAGACTAGATCCCCCATCTATTGCAGGGCCCTATGCACGTGCCCAGTGTGCCCAGTGGGGAAGAGGGGCCTGACACTACTTGCTACTAACGTATGACGATGGTCTAAATAAACTGATTTCATAATCATCCTTTCTCTCGCATCCTACATTGGTCGTCGGGCTACCATAGATATTGGTGTTTCATAGAACTGAATTTACGACAGTTAGCCATAAGTCCCTTCTACTGGGTACTAAGCATAAATTATTTTATTCTAGTTTATTATTGATATGTGTGATACTACTAAATTTGGTGCGAACACTTAACCACTATACGACAGTTAGGTTTTATCAAATTCCGTTATTTATTTGGCTATCTTACTACATACAATGGTTTCGCTTCTAAGAGGTGTCTCTATAATCAGTAAACATATAAAAATGTCTTTTTTCATCCTTCCGAATTCGTTTTCTTTTGTACCTTCAAATTCACTCTTATTATAATATGATCTTCACTCATGAGTATTTTCATTAATTCCAGTATAGGTTATATAAATTAAGTTTAATTATTTTTACGTACCACTTCACAATAGCTAGGCTCCACATATTCTGTGTCCTTGTTGTTGACGTATTGATCATTGTCGAATACATTGGAGTAGTCGTTATTTTTCGATCGCATCTTATCAGCGTTAATGGTTGAAGGTGGCACTATACAGGCGTAATCGCTTTCTTTTACTTGCGGCCTTTTTGACGCAATTTCGTTATTGTGTAGGTTTAGTTCGGCATATAGGCATTCAGTGGGAGGATTCTTTCTTCTATTCTTTGGTATTGGTACTGAGTATAAATCTGCGACATCGTTCGGTCTGTACGGTTGCGCGTATACATTTTCAGACGATGATTTCACGTCAGCTGGTTTACAATATATGTCTTCGATTCTCGAAGAATTTGGAAAAGGTTGATTCTGTTGTGCTGCAAGGTTTTCATACTCCATATTGGATTGTTGCTGTAAATTGAAATAAATTAATATGTTTTAATTTAAGATGTGCCCTAAGCGTATTAGATACACAGTGAAATAATATACGTATTATATTATATAATGTGATAGCCTCCCTCAACTCAAGCTTACGAAGCATACTGAACTGAAGTGATATGTTGTTTTTACTGTAGACATAGATAATAATAATAATAATAGTTAAACGGGTTTTAACGTGGAATATAGTGATTAATAAATTAAAAAAAAAAGAAGATCAATAAGTGTACCGTGTACCGTACTGTGTGTCGCGATTTTTCTGGGACAATCTAATGACGGTAGTTGAACAAACTGCCGGCTACTATCAACGTTGACATTCGCTGTTACTCTAGTCAGATCATGACCATGGTGCGACTGTCGACACGTCAGGAGAGGTAAATTCCCTTTTTTTTATCATTAAATTATTCAATGTTGTCTCAATGTGTTAGAACCCGTTTAACTATATTAATTACCTCCCTGTTGATTCGTATTCGCTAGTGTATATACATGTTAGTACCATGCACTAACTTAAAATTTATGCTGGATATTTATTAAAAAAAGTTAATAGTAACAAAAATGCCTGATATATTATTTACCATTGTCTGGCACTGATTCTTTGTAACCTTCACTATTGCTATAGAAATTAGAATGAGGATAATACATCCGCAACAGATCAGACTCCACAGCCATATCGGAACTAAAAAAAATAAGTATATTATAACGTAACTGGTATGCACAGACGTCGTTTAGCTCTAACAATCAGCGCCACCTACTGGGTCTAATTGTATTTTTAAACTACCCAGGAGGCCATTGAAATATGAAAACTCATCATATAGACGGCCTCGGTGACCTATAATTTTGACACACATTTTACTTCGGTTGGTCGCGGATTTGATTTCGCCTACAATGAAAACATTTATATTTTAGGTCTGCGCATTAGCTATGTGTTAAATATTTTATCACTTGTATAGTACTCATAACACAAGTTCTGGTTATATTGAGGCCAGATGGCGTTGTGTGAGTTGCCCAGAGTTATTCTTATATTATTATAATCAATCACTCAAATCAGTCCGGCTGTTTAGAAGTGAAATGACCAACACACGTACAGAAGAATTATAGGCGAATACGTAACTTACCGATGTAGACTGTACAAAGTCGTTTGCGTGGACACATCTGACAGACCTATTTCAAATGACCAAGCAACTTGCTTTGTAAGCTGTGTTTCAGTTGACAGGTTGTTAATATAACAATGAAAATGATTTAATTACACGTTAGTCTTTTGCAGTGACAACACATGATGACGTGACGTCCGCGATGTTGTTCATGTATATAGACCATCCTGTTGCCACCTACCACTTACTTACCGAAGTCAGACGAGCCGTAAGCGTGTCTTTCCACTTCTATAACAAAAAAATATTATAGTAGGTATTCACATTCACCGTAGATAATATAATCTTAAAGTATTTTTTGACTGACTTCAAAATGGAGAGGGTTTGCAAGTTGTCCATTCGACGGTATATTTCCAAAAGTACCTTCGCTACGTTATGGTATCAAACCCCCTTGTATCCCATATCGTCCTCTTAATAACATTTCTAAAAGTAAGCTTTTCGAGTCCGCTTTACAGGATTTGATTATATAATTTTATTTTTCGTATTCACCATCTTGGAACATTTGCATTATTAGATGTTTTTTTTTCATATGGATTATAAGGGTGATGCTTGTTTTTTTTTTATGGATGATAATGAAATGGTGCACCTGCAGTGGAGGATCATAAGATGAATATGAGGTCAGGTTAGTTAGCCCATCGCAGGAATTTATCACGATGGTTTCCAAGAGGAACCGTGTGGAGGTACACCTGACATAGTGTATTGCTAGCAATGTGGTTATTAGTCCACATCTACTAACTAACAATCCCCTTCCTCCCACCATATTAGATTTAATGTTACGTACCTGACAATGTTCTGTCCTCCAAAAATAAACGTGTAAACAACATTTCAGCGTTCAGTATAACTTACAGTCGCAAGATTTGACGTAAAGGAACTTGGAAGCTAATTAACCCAAACAAATTTGCAATTATTTATTTGTTTGGGTAGTTTGTAAATACAAACGGTTCTGAGTAGACTATGTAATGTAATTCATACCATTTCCTCCTGTATCATCATCAGTGGTCTTCTGCATATGCGAATTGTTATCTGTCTTGGGCCTCTGGGCATCTGTCGAAGTATTGATCAATTAATGCCGACGTTAAGAAATATTTATTTAGTGACCTGAGAGCTAGAATGAGAGTCTTAATTACTATGTCCCGCCTCACACTGGCGCGAGTCCCTGAAGTACATTTCCTGATGAAGTCTAAAACTTCGTAAACTAGCTTATTATCGAAAAAAAAAAATGAAAACATACTACGTACACTAAATTCCAGCACATATGTTAAAATCTTAGAATTTTGTAAAATTTTATCCCCAAGTCTGTACCATTGGGAATTGCTGTGCTCGGGTTACAAGTGAGCTTTAGGTTATATATGATTATATGTGTACCAAAGTAAAATTAGAATCTGTCTAGTCGTTTAAGCGTAATTGAGTAATGAACATACAAACTTTCACTCTTAGTATCTAAGTTTATAATGTTAGTAGAGTTAGACAGTTGCCAAGCCCGATATTAATGTGAGGTGACATATAGTGCTGTTTAATGCAATGCAATAAATTTTCACGTCACTTCGTTACTCAACCGCAGCTGTATTTTAGGAATCTCTCTAATGATTACCGATTTCCTAAACAATATTTATTAGCCATATTGTTTGCGATTCGATTTACATAAAAAAATATTTTACCGCAACAGCTACAACGAGAACATTCTAAACCACTGTAGTTAAGGGTAATAAGCTAGTTGACAAAATTTGGAAATGAGTTTAAAAATATAGCTTGGTATGTATTTTACCCCAAAAATATATATATTAAGAAAAATAAACCATTGAAGAAAAATAAACCTTTTTCAAATAAGTAGTTACCTACTTATTTTGCGTTTTTAGGCATGAACTCAAAATTGACATCGAAAAAGGCCAAGACTATCATGGCGTCTTGTATGACGTCACGCCTCGCGAAACATTCGTCTTTGTTTATGACAGTCAATTATTTTTATTAAGAAATAATGAATCCCTTTTATTTTAAATACTATGCAGTTCCTTAATGTAAAAGTACAACGATAAAAACACCGAATAAACTATTCATATACGTTCCTAACATTAAGCAAATACGTAAAAAGTGGTCAGAAATAGCAAGGAAGATCTTGCCTCCTTGGATACAATTTTCGTCGCCGGATGATGCGGTCTCAGCGTTCGAGCAGGCTGTAAATAAAAGGCTGTAAACGAGGTGTCTGCGGCAGACTGGAAAAAGTGTTTCGAAAACTGGTTCAGACGCATGAAACTTTATATTGAGGCTGGTGGAGAGTACTTTGAAAAGATGTAATAAAAATATATTTACCTATAGAACATGTTTCTTAGTGTCGCAACACTTTCTGAGTTACCCACGTAGGAGTATCATATTATTAATCATATCGTTTGGCAACTAAAACAATACAAAAAGTTGATTTGACGGCCTCGATGGTCTGGTCGTTTAGCACACCGCCTTACTTCCGAAGGTCGCGGGTTCGTTTCCTCGCACGTCGCGAATATTGTGATGATGATTGTTTATGTTGGTCAGGGTGTTTTCTATATATAATATGTATATATTTACGCAAAAAATACAGAGAAGTTTTAACATTTCGAAATTCTGATGAGCAAACATCGGCGTTTGCCACGAAAAATTTGCCTAGCATAATGGCGTCAATTTTGGGCAAATTACTGCTATTTGCTTCGGTGGAACTTGATTGCATGGCGAAATATACCTGTTATTCAAGATTAAATTTAAAATACACAGTATTGATCTAACAATTATTGCTGAAAATGAATAATTCATTCATTTATTCATTGATTCATTCGTTCGTCCGCCCGTCCGTCCGTCCATCCGTCCATCCGTCCATCCATCCAACCATCCAAACATTAATTAATTAATTAATTAATTAATTTATTTATGTAAGCTTTGCATTCCATAATTTTACAGTAGATAGATAGATAGATATATTTCAAAGTAGGTTAATTATGGACCATGTTGGGCACAGCAAGCGGTAGAGAAGAGAGGAGGACGAGTTATTATTTATACAATTAATTATATACTTCCTATCCTCGATTACGCAGACTCCTGCTATTTAGATCTCACTGAAGAGCAACTAAATAAACTTGAGCGACTTCAAAATTTATGTATACGTTTCATATTTGGTCTGCGCAAATATAATCACATTTCCCATTATCGTACTCAACTCAAGTGGCTCCCTATCCGTCTTCGTCGCAACTTACACATCCTATCACTCCTTTACAGCATTCTCTTTAACCCCCACACTCCTGATTATCTAAAAGACAGTTTCACATTTCTCAGTGAGAACAGTAGCTATCCGTCGCGTAATGTTAACAACCTCCTTCTCAGATATCCCTCTCATTCCACTTCCTTCTATTCTAAATCCTTTTCTGTCCAGGCTGTCAGGTTATGGAACGCACTCCCCCCTTGCATTCGGAGCATTCAGTCACTTGCTAGTTTCAAAGTCTCTGTCAAATCCCACTTTCTTTCCCTTTAAGTTCATATTGTCCTCTTTGTCTCATAGTTCCCTTCATATTTTCTGAAGATATGTGCATTATTAAGTATATGTATGTTTACGTATGTTTATACTTTATTATATATGTTAATAGATATATTTATGTACAAATGTATATTTATGTTCATTACGTGCACCACCTACTATTTTCTTATCTTAATGTTACTTTCTCTACTGGTAGTCTGGAAGAGATTGCTTAGCGATAAGACCGCCTTTTGTATCAGTTTATGTATTATATCATTTTGTGTGTTTTCTTTGTCTGGTGCAATAAAGAGTTTAAATAAATAAATAAATAAATATAGTATTGGATAAATAATAATAATAGTAATAATTAAAATTGTATAATAACATTTTTTAACCAATAATATCTTGATATTTCTTATAATAAATTTATAATTTTTTTCCTCTTTTAAAGAAAGTGGTAAGTGATTATATATATTTATGGATGACACCAGAGGACCACTGAATGTACATAGTGCTAACGTGGAGGATGGAAGAAGTAGCCTATGTGTGAAATTATATTTTTCACACCTTTCTTCGCTTGTTTTATAGAAATTGGGGTATTTCCGGACGAATTTACTGGTTTCTAGAATATAAAGTAAGAAGTAAGAATATTATGTTTTTGAAAATATGGTTTACAGCTTTTACAATTTGCAATATTTACTAGTAGTCTTAATTAGTTTCTTTTGTTAAGTAAAAAGGGTAGATGCATCGGTACTGTTTCCCCACATTATAATCCTGTAACTCAACCATGCGTATGCATATGCATAATAAGTGGTGAGAGCGTTAAAAGAACCACCAACTTGCAAACAAGTTGGTGGTTCTTTTAACTTCCCGAAATGCATATACAAACCTAGACACTTTACTTTTTATTTTCTTGATATGAGATTTCCAATTTATTTTTATTTATTGCGCATTAGTAGAACTAAGACGGAGTATATGGTGTTGAACTTCGGCCCCGACAAATCTGGTACAATAAACACTGAACTGAAGGTGGACGGAGAAATCCTACCAAGA